GCTCCGGTGTCTATCCTCGTCAATACGCGGTCTATCAGATGCTCTCCGGCCCTCTGGACTACCTCGAACAACTTCGTTTCCCACAGCATCTCGAGCTCCTCGTACCCTAGAGAAAGCGTCTCTGGTTCTATCATTACATTGTATATTATCCACCGCATCTCCACCTCTATTTCGTCCGCATCGCTGGATGTAGGCACTCGGTTGCGGTGAAACCGATGTAGGCTTGTGTCCCGGCCGGCCTAGCCTGCCACCGTCGGCTCGCAACTCCGGCACAGTCCCCAATATTCCATTCATGCCCATCCACACACGATAGAATTGCTCCACCCACCTCCTCATCCCCCCGACGTTGCTCTCAACATTCAATATTCTGCTTCTCATCAACGTTCCCAAAGCTATCCCGGTGTACGACGGTTCGGCGCCAGACCTCGTCCCCGACAGCACCTGTGAATCATGTATTCCCGCCTCCACAATGTCGTATACTTCTTTGGGCGTGACTTCATCGGTAACCTCCCTCGGGCACGTCGCTCTAATCATCCTGCGTATCACCTGTACCACTATCACCGTCCAGGCCATCGGCGGGGCTCCGTAGCAACGAATCCAGTGCTGCATTCCTATCAAATGCCCCTCCCCCAGTACCTGCCCTGCCCTCGTGTTCCTCGACCATGGGGCCTCAATCACTGGCGATCCCTCTTCTTCCATTCTTAATCTCAATACTCCCCCGCTCTCTCCAGTACCCACACATTCCACCCTATCCAGTTCTGTTCCGTCGGTAACGACTCCCACTGTGCCTCCAGACCCTATCACCATCGGTCCTTCGCCAACGTCCCCGCTTCTCGATTCCTGTTGCGCCTTTCTATCCAAATACTCCTGTTCGAACTTGAGGTCGCTCAGGGTCTTGACGTTACTACCTGTCCCAGCACCACCCTTCCATCTGGGAGCCTGCATAACTGCCTCCTTCGCATCGCCTCGTGGTGGCACTGGCGGAGCCGGCGGTCTATCCCCTTGATCACCTATCCCAGCGGTTCCCCTAAGTTCTCCGCCGTCTCTGCCGTCTCCCGTCTTTTCCTCGGCACTCTTTCTTTTCTCGTCTCGAGCCTGCTTCTCTCGTCGCTGGTTCGCGAGCTCCTGGGCACTCTCGAGCAGCTCCTTTCTCTTCTTCGCCTCCCGGTTCTCCTTTTTCGCCTTCTTTTGTTCTGACCGACTCTTCACGGTGGCGAAACCCTCGTCACTGCCTTCCCTGCTTTCCTCAGCCATCGACGCGTCTCCCTTGTGAGCGGATTGGTCTCCCGGTCTATCCTCGCCCATAGCATCATCCTCTTCTCCATCCGACTCTGCATCGTCCTCTATCATTTCGGCATCATCCGCCATCGCCTTTAGCTGGCCGATTGCCGCCATAGCCCTCAGAGCTTGATACTCGGGGTCCTTCATGTGGAAGCCGGCCGCTGCGTAAATAATCACCTTCATCCGGTGCCAAGATCCCCTATCCCCGGCTGATACGCAGTGGGCTTCAGACTTGCCACACATTGCCTTCCACACCGACTCGTCTATCCTCGCAGCCATCTCCGTATACACCCCTTGTCTATCCGATGTCCTAAGGCTCTCCGTGAAACCCGTGATCTTGGTCTCCGGCACAATCACTTTCGTTTTCAGCGACCGGTCTCCCTTCGCCACGTCTATCCATCGTCTGAGCCAGACTCCAACCTCTCCAACGCTATCCCTACCCTCCTCGCTAATCACTTCCCTAATGGCCGAGGTCTCCCTATCGTATAACTCCATGTCTCGCGGGGTCGGCCACATCATTCCAAACATCGAGATGAACAGAATCTGCGCCCAGAAGCCGAACGTTCGCCCAGCACTGATGTACAGCTTTCCCGCTTCCACCCCTATTCGAGGAAATGCCGTACGCATAACGTTCCAAGGCAGAGTGATGATTCCAGACTTCTTCATCAGCTTGTCCATGGCTTCTCCAGCTCTCATCAGCTCCCTAGCCTCTTCTCTGACTCTATAGTTAGTAGGGAACCCATTCTCTTCGAAATTTCCGGGCCCTACCCAGAGCACATTGGCATTGGCTTTCCTGATCGTCTCCCTCGTGTCCCTCGCCACCTTGGTTTTGCTATCATCGTCCATAGCCTCGAATCGTCTAACTTCTTCTATCGCTCGGCGGGCATTCCCCGCCGCCATTTCAGCTGGGGCTAATACCACGACGACGTTCGTCACTTGATTCCCTCCTAGGCCCTTCGAAACACACTCCTTGCACACCTCCTGGACCCTCTTGTATGCACCCTGGAAGGTCATCTCCTGCGTCCCTGTCAATTTGTGCGGCCTTTCCATTGTCTCCGTGCGCCTTCAACAGCATTGCTATCCACTCTCGAACTTCCTGTGGTGACGCCGGATTCTTCTTGTTCGAGACGCCCTCTATCCCCTCAGGTATGATGATGTGTACGTAGGTCTTCTGATCCGCACTACATCGTAGCTGAAGCGGCGGCTTCATTCCCTCCGCCCACCATGTCACCAGCTCAGCCGCCTTGCGCTCATGGAAAGCACTGGCTATGTCAAACATCCACTCGTAGGTCTCCACCGCGGACTCAAGCTCGCTCGAAAGAGCAGGCTCCATTAATCTTCCTCCGACTCCGCCCATTCCTATGCCAATGATAGCCGCCCATGCCTGAGCCTCGAACGCCCAGCTCTGGTCGACATCTTCCGGCCTATTCCATCCATACTTCCTTGGTGACTTTTCTATCCCCAATACTATGCTTCCCACGTCCGCCATTTCCAACACTTTGCCCACGTGGTGCGTGGCTCTATTCGCGTTCTCCATGATTTCCTCTTCTACCCCACTTCTCTCCATACACCGTCTGTAGATTGCTGGCCCCACAAAACTCCTCCAGGGCATCTTCACAACAGCGCTATCGTGTCCCGTGGCCAGTGGTGCCTCTATCCCCATGTACTCCAGCAAGCGTATCACATTGGCCCACTCGCTATCCACTGGGTAGTAGTCCTTGTCACGATCGGGCCCGGACACGCCCCCACCGCTAGGCAACTCCGCTATCCATCCCCTCATGAGTTCTATCAAGCCACTCCTCTGGCCAGTTGGCTGGTCGACGACCTTCGTGACAGTCTCGTCGCCTTCCCGATGTAGGAACTCGTGTTCCATCTTCCAATCCACGGGGCGCTCAGGAAGAGGTCCTCGGGCCGGGCCTATAATTGCGCGTTTCTCCAGGTGATACCGCCAATACAGCCTCTCAACTCCTTGCGGGTGCTTCTCCATCAGCGCCGACATCTCACTCATGAGGTGGCTATTCACTCCTAATCCCGGGTGCTTCGGCCTGCAGATGAGTGCATGACCGACGATCTTTGTGGCCCTCATAAAGCAGAACAAGACCCCGTCTATCTCCACTCTATCCACATCCAGTCGAATCTGTCCTTCAGGCACCGACGATCTCCTTGTCCCCACATCCATTTTGACATTCTTGCCTATCCTTCTGAAGCCGGCCAGTACTCTCACTATCCATCCATTCCCTAACGAATGCCATGTAGAGTATGATGCCGTACCACAGATGCTTCGTCCAAACCAGCATCCCGCGGAGTCACTGACACTGGGAGCGCCGGTCGACCACGTAACCAACGGATGGCTTCGATCTATCCCACCAGACGCTATCATCGACCATAACGCTTCTAGAGACGTTCCATGGAAAATCCACCCGGGCACATTAAACTCCTCATTCCCGATCGACATCTCCAGGTTCAGCTTCTCTGCTCCGGCGTACTCGGCCTTCGTGGGTACCCACATACATCGCGAATCCGTGAAATGTTCTTTCACATCCTTAATCCCCCCGTCTGCCTGGATCTCCGGAAACGTGATCACTTCTTCGGCCAGGGACCAGTGCAACAGGTGTAGGACCGACGTCGGTCCCCCTATCTGCCACGACAGTGTATCCAGATACTCCTTCATTTGTCCATTTGCTGCGTTCGCCATAACACTATATCCTTTTTCTCCCCCCTCGCTTCTCCGAAACTCTTCCACCACGTCTCTTCCCCTCTTCAAATATTGGCTATCGTAGGCCCCCACGATCTCGTCCGCCATGCCTATCACCTTGATCTTGGGCTGCGCCTCCGTCCATATCTTCAGCTTCTCCGCGCTCGACTTATGGCTGACCGCTATCCGCTCCGCAACCTGAGACGGTGGAATCGCATATTTCAAGGGTCGCACAGCCAACCATGTCATCATCCCTTTGATCGCATCGTCGAACGCACTCTTCTCTGTGTCATCCATGTGGATCTCCGCCCAATCTAGGTTCTTTCTGCTGATCCCTCCCCAGCTAGCCCTGAATGGGTCCTTGCTTCCGTTCGTGACGTCATACACTCCTCCCACAGAGATTGCTATCGGCGCCACACCAGCTATCATCCTCTCAAACGATCTTCCCCTCTGAAATGATTTCTCTGTTTCATCTGTCGCGCCGATGAACTTAGGGGCCCATGGCGTATCAACGTCTCCTCCTGTGCCCGCCGTGGGCATGGCACATCCCGGCACGTCTATCCCTCTAGCCAATCGCACTCCTATCAAGTCGTTCAGCTTTTCCCTCGACAAGTTCCCGGAATCGGGGCTCGCCTGAGGTGGCGGCTTCGTCGCCCCTCCATGCGACCTTGGTCTATCCCAGTTCGCTATCACCCTCTCCAAATAGTCCGTGGCATCCGTCACAGTCGCAGCTATCAGAGGGATCTTCTCCCTTATCCATGCTTCAGGATTCCGCCTCGTACACCGCAGTACCTCCCAGAGATACATAATCTTGTGCACTCGCATCCTATCCACGTCGTAGCCCACGGCCGGTCGTTTACCTCCTTTCTTCGCCGTCTTGGCCTGGGCCTCTTCCGCTCTCACACCAGCTATCCCACTGCCCATCCATTTCTTGAAGTCCGCATCGTCCTTGAAGTGGTTGGGGATAGCCCGTCTAGCCCATACTTCCTGCACCTCTAGATTTCCCTCCAATATCCAGTGTATTCTAGCCTCCTCCCGTTCCTTGGCCCCGACCGGCAGATACGAGTACATCGTCACCCCTGGCACTCCATCCTCCGTCTCGGCCTTGAGATATTTATCCGCGTCAGAGAATACTTTCTCCAGGAAGTCTATCATAGCTTGTGCTCGATCACATCGTTCCTTTTCTCCTGCATCCCTGGCCTGGCGCTCCGGGCGCTGCCATCGTAGCCCTACTGTCCTTGAAGATGAAGCTGCTCCAGGGTCTTCGTTGCTTCCCATATCTCTATCCCGTTCACTCAGTGATACCGATCCGAACATCTCTCCCATGGCTTCACGCTATGCTAGCCGCTAGAGCCGTCTTCTTCCTTACACACGCATACGAATCGAGGCCACACAAAAGTCGCTCTAGTCAAGGCGTCGTTGAAGAGCATTACACAGTGCCTCAATACTCACCATGTCGCTACTGCCTATCCGAGCCTTCGATTCTTCGTTAGTGCACTGTACGTCATCTCCCTTGTCATGAAGCTCTCCTATCTGCATCTTTCCCCGCATTCGAGCCAGTTTCCCACGTGCAGCAAGAATTCTCGCTATTCCCTCGGAGATGGCGGCATCACTGCGATTGATCAGAACAATCCCGATGCTCGCAGCGAGCACTCTATCCACTATTAAAGCTAGGCTATCAGCCGCACTTTGGTCCTTTCTTCCCAGCTTGAGCTCTGCCCCGCGGGCTAGTCGAGAAGGCGAGTCAACTCGCTTCGGTGCTATTACCACTATCCCGTCGCACTCACCGACGATCGCCTCATCGACCTCCAGAATTGGCGAGTGTTTGATATCCCACACCATTTCCCAAATTATCCATCTTCCCACTATGGACTTTGCTATCCCGACATTATCCCTGATGTCATACTCGAGCTGATTTTGGGATACCCCCCGGCACGCGGGCATAGCTAAGATGGTTCCCGTTGCGTTCCCGAACTCCTCTTCACCAAAATGTGCAGTAGTGTACATATCCCTTAACCACTCTCGCGCTTCGCTGATGGCCTTGGTCATCATGTTTGCGGCCTGATACTCAGTGGGGCAATTGACAAACGTAAACATGACTGCCTCGTAGAACTGGTTCAGCCTAGCTATGTCTATTCGCTGCGTTCTAGACAGGTACCTCATGTTCGGATTCTTGCCTGAGACAATTACTCTAACAGCCGCCTCATTGTCTTCCGCCACTATCAGGGGTTCTATACTCTCCTTCATCATCTCCCATAGTGCCAATCCTGGTATTCCCTGTTTTGTGATGCCATCGTGCAGGGCTACTATCTCAGCTTCGGGGGTACTTTTGGAGCATGACGTTTGTTTCTTACAGTATGCAGCTATAGGAACGAAAGTGTGCGGTCCTTGAAGACAAAGATACACCCCTGATGTAGATCTATGGTCGTTCTTGTCGCTGGCAAGATCGGCGTCGCAGTATAGCACGAGACGGATGTCTCCTATCCTATCCCCGACCCATCCGTAGAGACTCGTTGTCGTCGTCTCGTTGATGTATGAGATCAGTCTATGCATCCTCTTGTCACAGAGGTGCGTCCAGGTCGTCAGCCTCGATGCCAGAACCTGTACTGGTCGCAGGAGATCATACCTCCCGACCCTGGCCCCATACAAGATCTTCATGAGGACCGCTGGGGCGTGCTCTTTCAACACTCCCGGCCCATCATCCGGCAGCTCGTACTTGGCTATCCCCATAATCTCATTCACCTTGTCGTCCACTGGGTTCTCGTCAAACTCTGGGCGGCTCTCGTCGAGATAAGGGGTCTTAGCCTTATCCAGTGGCTTAGGATACGCCGTCGAGCACAACTCTTGGTATCTATCCACACACTGCTTCATGAAGTCGGTGACATCATATCGAAGGATCCTGATCTCATCCGGACTATCATCCTTCGCTTCGGCCTTCCCCACGAAATTAGGCGGTTCCTTCTTGGGCTCGATTATCTTTGTCCACTCGTGTCTCGGCTCAAACGGCGACCGAAAAGGTATCGCACTAGCCGTGTGCAAGCATCCCAAGTATCTGCCCATACTTCGTGGCTCTTCTAGCTTGATTCTCTTCGCCAGCTTCTCCCATCCTATCGCTAAGTTCTCTTTGGGTCCCGCAAGCTTGAAGTCGTCGACGTAGATCACCAGCATCAGCTTCAGCTCCTTGTGGAAGAACACGCTAGGCCAATCCGGGAGGAATTCGAAGCCTACCTCGGTCACAGCCTTTTCACAGTGCTTCTCCCAGAACCCCCCGGCATCCGGATGCCCGTATAATGCCAGCCTCAGTGGCACCACCGGATCGTCTATGCCCTCCCATTCGTCTGGCCACCTATCCCTCGGGATCCGTATCCATGTTTTAGGTCCCCCCAATAGCGCCTGCGTATATGCCGACTCACCGTCCGACATCTCGATATCATGTCCTGGCAGCATCCCATAGGCATCCGCCATCTTGCCTGCCTCAAGCGTAGCGGGACATGACGTGATTTCCTGGAAGATGGCCCACTTTCCCTCCTGGTCTTTGACATGACATCCCTCGAACACAACTCTCCCCTTATACTTTCTAAGAGGATCGTCTTCAGCAAGCTCCCAGTTCTTTTCTACACAGATGTCAAAGATACGACCCACATGAGCTATTTCCCCTCTATCCATCGCCTCCCGTTGAACGTCCTTCCACGAACGCACCTCCTCCATAATCCAGACCACTTGATCCATCAGCTTTTTCCACTCTTTATCAAGTGCCGCCCGGGCCTTGGAGTTGATAGCCCTCTCAGCCTTCGTGACGGGTCTAGCGACCAGTCCGAACACTTCCTCGATGTCCTCCTCTTCGTCCTCTATGATTGTGGCCATCAGTGGCTCACATTCTCCCGCTGTCTCGTCGGTGCTATCACAATCTCCATCTTCCGCGACCTCCTCCCAACTATCCTCTTGATCTGCATCTACCTGTATAGCAGGGACTGCGACTATTCCATCTCCATACTCCTCTTCTTCGTTCTGATAACCCTGCCGGATCAAATTATCGACGGGCGTAGTATGCTTGTTCATGAAGCATGCGAAGCAAAGTGTCATCGACGTGAGGATCAAACTTGGTACCTTGGCTTTTCCCTCCAACATTCGTCGACATTCTCGGCATTTGTAAGCCCTATTCGAGACATGCTTGATTCCGATTCGTCGCCTATCCTCATCTCTATTCCTCCTCGCTCTCAGTCCATGATCCATACTATCCCTATCTCTTTCCCTTGCACGGGCCTCTCTCGCCCAGATTGCTTTCTTGCTCTCCCGATGTGCCCTACGATGTCTCACTTCCTTCACGTTCTCAGGCATCATGCACCCGCGCATCCTTGGTCGTAGACATACTCCCTTAGCGAACTCCATTCTCATGATTGGCCCCCCTCTTCCTTCAAACGTGATGGGAAAGCTATTCCTATTCTGTATGGCCACCAGGATTTCTCGCTCAGGTGATACCTCGTATCCTATGACGTCGCACATAGTTTCCGCCACAAGTTGTCCAAGCGCAGACACTCTCACACTTGTGCCAGGATCTTCCGGATATGCTATCCCAGTACGAACCCAGGTGTATCCTATCAACGGAACATGGATGTCGTCCTTTAGTTCGAGGACCAGTGCATTCCTCTCTGCCTCCCACATGACTATTTTGCATTCGCCCTTCTCCATAGTCTCGAGGTTGATGGTTTCAGCGTGCCCGGCCCTGAAGAATGCCTCATCCACCGGTTCCCGTTCCTCTTCCAAGTCCGACAGCGTCCACCCTTCTGAGTCAAACACATCACTCTGGTCGTCGAATCCGGCGCTTTCCTCTCTATCTTGGTCGTGGCGTCGATCTGTGTCGCTGTTCTCCCTCTCCCCGGTCAGCACTACTACCCATCCGTCGCTGTTCATGTCTCCCACCTCGAGCTCTTCTCCAGGGTAAGCTACTGCGGCCCCTCCGGTGCTATGTCTGGTGCGGCGACTGTTTGGCTTCATCATCATAACCTTGCCTATGTCGTCGCCGTCGACCAGGATCACGCGCAGGTCCTGTATGTGTTTCGCCCGGGTCCGAAGACCTCCCCCATTGCCTCTCGGCCTGGATTATTCATAACTATGCATCTCTTCCATCTGGGCTCCTCACGACTGATGTACGGTGCCCCATCCTCGGCCGCCGCAGCGGCATAGTTCCTCACCAGCGTCTGATCTTCTCTATCCGTAGCATCGTCGACGTGCTCGTCGTCTCCCTCCATGTCTATCACCCAATACGAGTTTCCTCCGTTCATTCTTCTCTTGGCTATCTTCAGCAGCTTCTCTAGTGATCCCCCAGTCTCATCGCCCCTATTCGTTCCCTTTTCCAGCTGCGCCAAGGACTCTACGTCAAGCGTCACCATGCTACTGCCATATCCGAGGTACTCTCCCTCGTGTTCTTCACATGCCATCGACACCGAGTCACCCTCTTCCTCGCCGCAGATGTCTATCACGTCTTCTATCACCTTGATCATTTCGCGTATCGCTTTACGCTCCTGCTCTCGCTGTACGTCCATTTTCGTGTCCGATGTCCTCACCATGTGCGACATTAACTCATGATCCCTTGGCATATGATCGCATGCTAACATGTCCGCCGCGATCGCATTCATCATACATGGTGTGACCATTCCTATGTAACACGACGCGTCCACCCCGTCATTCATACCCAGCATGCATCCATCACTCCGTACTATCCACATGTCCCAGGCAAGCGCCATTCGAACAATGGTCTCGTCAGCCAGTCGACTTTTGCCGCCTATCCAGATGGTCGTAGCCACTATTCCTCTGCTGTTGGCGTCGGTGATAACCTTTTCTACATTACCAAACACTCTTTCTCGAGCCTCTCGCGTACTATCTAGTCCTTCCTCACGTCTCCAACCGGATGCCTTTCGATCAACTTCCACTCTCATGCCTTCGCTAGACGCATCGATAGCGATAACCACATCCGTCACACCCTCTCCTATCACACATCCTTCCCCCGATATCCAAGATACGTTCTCACCTCCGTTATCCCCGATATCTTCTATTCCGACCCCCATGACCTGCACTTTAGGCTGTTCGCCCAACTCCCTCATTATTTCCCCAATGATGTTGTCGGACGGCGTTCGCGCTATTCCAGCTGTGCTGCACAATTGATTGATGGTTTTCGTAACCTCCTCAGTATCTCCCATCCTGGATGCCGGTGCGGCAGGTTCTGCTGGTTCTCCTCTATCCCTGATTCGTCGGTCTTCTCCTCCGTCGGGGATGTACCAGAACTCCGTGATGATGTCCCTAGGCACAACGAATCGGTATCTCCCTCTATTGCGCATCATCTCCGCCTGTATGCATGAGTCATATTCGATGGATTCTAAGACCTCTCCAGTATTGGCGCTCCGAGTGACCCTCCACCATAGCTCGAGCCGTCTTTTGTCCCTTCCGCCATAGAATCGGTAGGACGTGGCGCGATTGTTTCTTACTGCCCACACTCGGCCACCCTCAGGCATCCCCGATGGAGGATCCCATCGGTACTCCTGCGGTGAGAAGTCCTGGCCATGGTCGGTGATTTTCTCCATCCATTCTCGAACTCCAATTTCTGCGGGACGCGGTCCTATTCCCTCTTGCCCTCGAACGGCAGAAGGAGGCCTCTCCCCTCTGATGATCCTCTCTTTGTCTCCCTCTATATAGCGCAGTCGCTGTCCCGGGCTCATCCTATTCCACTCTGCCGACGAAATGGAGTTGGGTTTGTGAGATCTCGCGTACGGCCGTTCTATCCTGGGCATGTCCTGCTCGTAGTCTAGACCCACTCCCCGTATACCCGTCGCCTTTTCTCCTCGCGCCCGCTCCTTGGCTTCAGCATCTATCTCTCCCTCAGGCTCCCCCTTTTCCCAGAACGTAGTGCATCCCGTCCACTTCTTGGTGATCTTCTTCTTGCCCTTCATCCTATCCTCATCCAGCACCTCCGATGTACCATCGGCATATACTATCCACGTTCGTCTTCTTGGACCTAACTCTCTATCTCCGGGGCCACCTGTTCCTTTGACCTCCTCTCCTGGGGTACACAACTCTTTTCGGGGTAATATGTGATGAAGCGTCCACGAATGGTCTATCTCATCATGTTCCCAGAAATCCCCGTTTTGAAGATGCTGATCATCGCACTTAATTTGCCTCATCACATCGGCTCGGACCCTTCTCTCCTCTGCGAAGATTTCCTCCGTCTCCTCTCCTTGCTGCCCTTCCCTCTCCAGTTCCAATCTAGCCAGGGCATCAGCTCGAGTCGCTGTCATGATTCTCGACTTCCTATCTGCCACAGCTTGCATCGGGAAGTAGTTGGGCATCTCCTCGTCAAGTACTATCCTCTTCACACGGTGTATCGACGGTACCGTCCACCCGTGATACAGGTGTGCCAGCTCAACCACTATATAGTCTCCGCTCGGAACACCCCCTGGTTGGAGCGCGTATCCTAGGAATAATCCGGGTGACGTCGGAGTGTCGAACTTCGCCTTGGACGCCATGGCATACGCTTGCTCTTCCTCAGCGTCGTGGTCCATATATTCTTCCCCGACCTCACCATCGTCTGCACACGCGGCCTGGCATAAGCTATCCGCTAATGTCGCAAAGTGCTCGTCCAACCTGAAGCCCAGCCTCATCAATTTCCATTTGTCGTCTATAGATGCCTTCTTACCCGCAGCTAGAGTATACCCTACCGCTATCACTCTATCCTCCGGCGCCAAGGCATCTTCGGTAGCATGCCAAACTCTTGGATTGAACTTTAGCCCACTATCAACCTTCCGAGTCCTTCCCCATATCCATTTTCCCGGAAGCACCTCTTTCTCTATCCCGGCGGCGTCGCCACTCTCATTCGCACACTGTTCCTCTTCTGTCCAGATCATAGCTTCGCCCGCCCTCTCGCTTATCGGCACAACAAAGTTGTATGTCTGACTCTCGTTGAACTTGTCCTTGTGAGGCCCCATCCTGGTTCCAACAGACACAATCACCGTTGTAAAAGTAGCTTCTGGGAAGCATTTCGCTATCAGCTCGCAGCATACCATCGCTATCCCCGGATACTCTTTGGCACTATTCGTAATGCCAATCTTTCCTCCGTACGCATACAGTCCCAGGACTATGAATCCTCTACCGGTAGCCATGCTCCTCGAATTTTTCGCTATTCCTCTTTCTATCGAGGTGAACTTCAGGATGACGTCCTTTGCATGCTGCACATCAAAGTCCTGCGTCATGACCATGTCGAGCGCACGTCTATCGATCTCTCTCAACTCTTCCTCCCTCTGCGAGCGTTGTTCTTTAGTTTCCTTTGTTTCAGAGGGCAAGGCCATGCTCGAAACATCTTCATCAGCTCCGAGAATCTCAAGAGCGTCATTTTCAGGATCCCCCCGTTCGGGCAGGGCCGTGTCCTCTTTGCCAGCTCTTCTAGGCTTTTCGGCGATGGGGAGGTAGTTAACAAGTGCCCCGAAAGGAATTAATTTCACTTTGTCTTGCTCATTGCCATGTCTTTTTCCGTACGGGCTTACCCCGTCCACTTGTTGTACGTTCCTATGAAAGCAGAATGTCTGTACAGCGTACGGCCACCATTTCGGTTCCAGTCCTGCTTGTCTCAGCAATACTCTGCCACCGTAGATTACTTCTTTGACCTTGAGCTCCGCTATGCTATTCGTTCGGGGTAATCCGGGTGTAGAGGTCGCCCTGCAAGTTCCTATGATGTCGCAGGCTTTTGAGAATTCCCCAGCTCCGTCTGCATACAGATGCACTACCGTATCTGGGCCTCGGAACTCGTTGCTAGCTCGTACAAACTCATCCGTTCCTCTGGACTTCACGGGCGTGCAGTGTATCCACTGTGTCTTGAAGTCAAACATCACGATTGCATTGTTCTCTCCGCGAATTCCTTTGTCTTTGTTGCTGCGAAGCACTATCGTGTCGGCAGTGACCCTCTCTCCAAACTTTTCGGCACCTTTGTCGGTGATGCCTTCACCCCTGTTGAAGGGTACGTTTATTGCTTTGCCTTGTCGGCAAGCAACGCAGTGCATGTTCTTTGGGAGATGCGTGAGCAAGTGTTCCGCCGATTTTGCATACTCCGGTGAATATCTTGCTCTCCTGATGCTCACAGTTTTGCTCGACCCTTTCCCTTCGCCAAGTCTATCCGCAACTCGAACCTGATCTGCAGGTCCGACTTCTGCCTCTGCTTGTTCCACTTCTCCCATGTCTCCGGCGCTATCATCCTTCTGATGCTCTTCCACTCCCTTTCTGGCCTGTTCTTCGTCGGCTATCCCGGGCAAATCTATATCAAAATCCAATTCGCCTCCGTTTTCGGCGCTTTCTTCTTCGCCGGGTGCAGCGACGACTTGCTCCGCTATCTGTAGGCCGTCATCCGGATTCTTCTTCATTCCTCGGATGAGCTGAAACTCCACATCCGTCATATTGCGTGCGCTTTGTCCCGCCTCAATCTGTTCAGGACTCAAAATTCTTTCACAAAACCCGCATACCCCGGATGAATCAGCCTTACACGCGGCGCAGTAGAACGTCGTTCTCAGCCGTCCATCACCATCATCTCGTTCTATCGTTGTCTCCCTATTCTTCTCGTCTATCTCCCTTCCGGTCACTGATGATACTCGGTAGTGCTTGCGCATAGTCTCCTTGACGGCTCGCACTAATCCCGGTGCCCACTCCGCCCAGTTTTGCGATTCGCTCATCTCGCCCTTGCTTCTATCACTGCTATCATTCGTCGCTCCAGTCCCCTGTCCCCTAAGGTTGACCGCCCATCCTATCAACTCTGCGTCAGTCGCTATCGTCGTCGGCTTTTTCCTAGAGTGTCCCATCGGTCCCTGATCAAAACTGAACAGCTTCGTTCCTAGGATGGCACTCGTCCTATCCCATTCTTCTGTCGCCCACAATGATGCGTATCCTCCTTCTGGCGTATCATCCCAATACGTCTCGGGGTCCTGGGGCTGCTCAATGAGACACATCGTTGGGGCTCTCAATCGTCGGTGACGTGCCTTTCCTATCACCACAAGCATGCACACGCGCAGTATGATGATATCGTCGTCACGGCATTCCTGCTTCTGTGCCCAACTGATAAATGAGTACCCCCACCTCTCCGGTCCATTCCTCGACCTAAGCGGAATCGGACCAGGCCTTCTGTATCTCATCACGGACCTCGTTCTGCAAGGCGGTCCGGCTAGCCAGCAAAATACCAAATTGGTTGTAGCCAGCTTCACTAGCCACCACCATGTATCAGATCGCAGCACGTTCTCCTCCATGTCGATGTCTATCACACTCATTCCTAATTCACTTGCGATGTCATCAAACTTTCCCCTTGACTTTCCACAACAAATGTGCACAATAACCCTTCTGCTCCCTTCAATCGCTTTCCTTATCTTCATGAGTTCAGGTCTCGTTTCTCCCTGGGGTTTATGTGCTTTTCCGCCGTCAAGTATCTCTTGAGGAGCAAGTGGCCATAAACACCTGGCCATCTCGACTAGCGTCTCTGCCTCGCCACCGGTACCGATGTTCTTGTCCAGCATCATCATCAAGTCATCTAGCCCCGCGTTTTCGTCCGCAGCCATTCTATTCAAGATATGTTTTCTCACCTTCGCGCTATCGCTCTGCACCGCTTCTCCTGCATCCGCTCCTTCGAATGTGAGCCCTTCTATCTTGAACATGGTCTTGCCTGTCCATAAGTCCTTCTCCGCGTCTCTACTCTCTCCCTCATTGCACTTATCCACCCAGTCTATCCATTCCGCCACGGTTTTGCCACCTTCGTACACACGTTTGGATCTACACCGCTCGGCGAATCGCGGTACAAGTGCATGTATCTCTGGGAATTTCAGTGTCTCAAACCACGGATCGCAAGTCTTCGTTCTTGGTTTGTTGTGGAAACACACCGCCTTATTACCTGTTAACATCCACTTGTCCAGCAGCCTCCCATCGTCGTTTGTGACCTTTCCTATCGGTTCCTCCTCGGTGTCTCTATCCGTGTCCGAGTCCACGCTTTTGGGGCTACATTCATCCTGTTTTTCTTCGATTTTCCTCGGACTGGAATTTCCTCGCACAGGTAGTTCAATTGCAAGAGGCGCTGGCATCGCAGGATAGATGTGATAGTCACTTCGCTCATTCTCGCTAACGACCGTTGATGTTCTATCCACCATGTAGGGAATATCCCCGATGACTTTTAGCACTATCAGGCTCGAGTCAGGTTTGACGAACACGGGGTTAGCACCCGCCAGCCAATGAAATGAATATCCCATTTTCATACATCTCCTCCCCATCGACAGAACAGCGGGAGTACTCTCGAGCATTCTAATCCTCATTGTCTCAGGCATCCCTTGTATATCCATGCAGATCTCTTGCTTTGATGTGGTGTTGCCGTTGGCGGTGTTGAACCTCACTTTCTTCGCCTCAATGGCCATATCTTTTTCGTCCTGGGTGAGGTCTGCTTCTGCTATGAGATCCATAGCGCATCCCGAGTCTATCATCCATCGTCTCATTACCGGTGGCAGGCAATGCTGTGCTGATGCCGCCGGCTGACTATCCTCTCGACTATCCACGCGGAACCTCTCGTCGACTATACCTATTCTCCTGCATTCCTCCACTATCCTGTCAGCCAATCTTGATGCATCCTTACCTTCCTCGCCTTGCTCCCCGGCTAGTATGTCCAGCACGACCTCTTCGGCCAGAGATATCCCGCGCAGCCTTGCCTTTGCCTCTTCAATCACGGGATATCGTTTCACATCATGTTCATACCCCTTCTTGTGTACGTTTTTGCATTTTCGTACCATCTTGTCGGCCGTGTGTCCCTTCCAGTAGCATATATCTAGCCCTGCTATCCCCGTTTCATCGGAGCCCAACCCCTTGACTCGTCTATTACCCTTCTTCGCCCGCTCCCTGCCTGCCGTCGTCACCAGTATTCCCCTAAGCGTGCCTTCGGCGCTATCATCCCCTTGTCGTACCACAGGCATGGCCGCATATACCTGACTATCATCGCTGGCCTGTGGGTTTCGGCCCGCCCCTAGCGAAAACTCGGCCCTTCACCATCAGCATGTGGACTCGATGGCCTCGTCTCCTTCTGTTCTATCTCTACTGTCTCAAATGCCTCCCTAATGCTATTCGGGATAGCCTCATGGAGCATTTTACACTTGTCATTTCTACAGCTGCCATACCGAAAATGCTCAAAGCAGTATCCCGCCTTCTTGAGGACCTTTTCCGCCTGACTATACAGATAGATATCGTGCGAATGCTTGCAGTCCGCCGCAGTCATCGGGCACGTTCCACGCGTATAGGGGTAGCAGACCCCTCTCTTTCCAAACGGCGACTTGGATCCATATCTATTCTTCGGGTCATCAGCTCTCCCCGCCTGCGAAAGTCCGTCCCTGCCTCTTCCCACAGATATCCCTCTTCCGTAGCCATTTCCCCCTGCGGGCGATGAACTCCTCGGTCTATCATCAGTGTACGCGCTTCTTCTATTCACCGGCGCTCTATATGATCCCTGCTGAGCCGGCATCGCGGCATACCCACTCGTGAACGCCTGTCGACTCACCCGCATTGAGGCCTCGTCTATGTTCTTGTCCGCTCTCCACATTTCCAGTCTATCCTTGATTCTCTTTCGCAACCAGGTGTGCGTCTTGGCCTCGTCCGGAAGCAATCTCCATGCCTCAATATCGTGGTTCAGCACCTGAACTCTCTGCACCTTCGAATGCAACATCCATCCCAGCTGTTGCTCGCTCCAGGTATTGCCTTTCAGCCCTACAAGGTTCGTGTGCGCCAGATCCCATCTAGTCATGAACTCCTCCAGTGCCTCCTCTTCGGGCTTCCCCGGGAAATGCATAACCTTCGTGCTGCTCAGGCCATCGTACAGCACCTGACTCTCTTTAGCTATCGGGATCTCAACATGTTTTACTATCAGCGTAAGCAATCTCATGGCCGTCATCGGTTTTCCATCTCCCACTTGCTGAGTCTTGTACATCTCCATCTTCACCTTCGCTGACAATGACTCTGACTTTATTGCTCTCTTCAATCCGCTAAACAGCTGATTCTCTAGCGCAGGGTACTTGAGTTCCATGTCTATCATCGCTTCGCTCCTTTCGCGTACCTTCAGTACCTGCGTGTATGCATAGTCCCCATCATACAGATACGCAGCCTTCGCGGTATGTGCCACATCGCCCAGCCACAGTCCTACTTCTCCGGACGATGGCTCCTTCGCTATCGATATCTCGTTGCATTTCTCCATCCCTCTGGTGTCCTTGAACTTGCTGTATCCTCCTCCTATCGGATTCCTGAATCTGGCATCGTCCCCCTCATGATCGCGTCCACTCTGCGGCCTCGGAAGTCCTGTCCCTGCATACCCTCCGGCATCGCATCCCCTTCTATCAGTGGAGCACAGCATGCACAAGTCATCATGGTACTCATAGCAATTACCACACACTTCTCTTCCGCAGCCATGGCATGCAATCATCATTTCTGCTTGTCTAACACAGACGGGGCACCTTCTAATCCTAGTCTCTTCCCCCAACAGACCTCCATCTCCTTGTCTATCCTTTCTTCCATGCTCTCTTCTATCCCCAAACGAACTTGGCGCAGGCGTGGCACCGGCACTTGGTCTTGCGGAGCCAGCGTTCGAAGCACCTCCCGCAGCCGGCGCCGGCATGGCGTACTCGGAGCTCTGCTTGGCGATCTCACCGATTCTATTCCACATGCTATCCAGCTCTGCTTTAATGCTATCGTTTCGTTTCACCTGCTCCAGTCTCCGCTCATACTCTCGTACCGTTGCCTCCAACTGCTCGTTCTTCTCTTTGAGCTCAAGCATTTCTCTACTACGAAGATCGAGATCCGCTCTCATCTTAGATACCTCATCTCTATTATCCCGAATCATCCGCACTACCGACTCTGTCACTCCTTTGTTCTCCCCCTTCATGCTTTCTATCTCACTGAGCAGGCTAGCGTTCTCCCTCACGATCCGCTCATTCACAGTGGTCAACCCCTGCAATTGACTAGTGATCTTGGTCACCTGCTGTTCTAACACAATGCATCTGTTCTCAATCCTTCGATCTATCACAGGACCTGCCGACTCCGGCCTCGAAGCCTCTATTCCTCGGGCGTTGTCGCTCCTGGCTCTTCCGTCGGCTCCCCCACTCCCACCGTGACTATCTCGTCCGCGTGACATGGTCGGTGGCTTTCCTATCTCCGCGCTGTTCCTCGCATCTTGCCTACCCCTTCATTCCGTGCGCTCTCATCAATTCGAGCATTGACAAGGATAAATTCGCCCGTGACTCTCTTCTGCTCATCTATCATACGGCTCGACATTGACTCCATTGTCTTTTCCATCTTTCGCACAGTATCCTTCACCGGCCTGTTCTCCGTTTCTCTTCTCATCCATCCGATCGGTCCTTGCCGCGACATTCTCGCAAGTCTTGTGAACCTTTGTCATGTTCGCCACAATCTCAGCCACGCTTTTGCGGTTCTTTATCACCTCTCTCGCGACGGTCATTATGTGTTCCTTCTGCGCCAGAACCACACTCAGCTTCTTGGTTTCGCCCCGCACTGCCCCATCTATGCACGTGCCGTGACCCTCGCCAGGTTCTCTGCATCCGCATCCAGGACCTTTTCCTTGGCTGTTGCAATGGGACGACGATGCCGTATCTGTTCCGGCTTTCTGGCTCCCCTTGGACTTCAGCTTCCTTAGTTCCTCGCCCGCTATCTTGATCTGGTCCCATTGTCTATTCAAAACCGTCTCTACTTTATCCAGTCTCTCGTTCCTCCATGTTCCATTCTCATGTCGCATTTGCATGCTCGAGAAGACTACACCTATGCCACGTCTCACCTCGTTCAATCCTGTCTCTAACGTGGTGATCTTCGTCCCGGTACTCTGTTTGGCCACGTCAGCTGAATGCTCCGCCGTGGACAATCGTTCCTCCACTCCCTTCAATCTAGTCGTAACAGAGGTCTTGAGCACCTTCACGTTCTCAACCTGCCGTCTCATTCTCCGTGCGAGCTGCATGGCTCCCTCGGTCAGTTGCGGTGCCATTGCATCGTCCATTCTATCCTCGCTGATGCTCCCGTCCATGATCCGACTCATCTCTTTCAACTCCTGCGACAGCGTTGTTTTGGTATCTATCTGCTGCGACTCTATCCATCCTTTCCAGTGCTTCACCTCCTCCTCGCATTCCACCAATCTCTTGCTCACGACGTCCGCCTTTTCCGCTGAGCTATTCGCAATTGCACTTGCACATTCGCTTGCCACCTTAAGCTTGGCTACGTCGGTCTGCGTGTCCACAACCACCGTCTGTAAGTCATCTATCCTGCCGTCTATCTCTCCCAACGACGACTTGTCCGGATCAGCAGGAGCTCTCATCTTTGCCCGCCTGGGTGGGGATGATGTTGCCCTCATCTCATCGTTCCTGCCTCGTCCTTCAGGAGGAGTATTGATCCCGAAATGTTCGTACTGCCCACCTATCCCAGGAGATCGTGGAGCCGGGGATCGATTGCCCCATCCCTCGCTACCCTGATCCGGGGTGATCATTCCTGCCTGATGGATCGGTCCCCCGACCTCGGTCGATTTCGACTTCTTTGCTGCGGGGACGCTTCCGGCCATCTTGTTCATCTCTTTAACGGCCTGCTCCGCTCGCTGTCTACGCAGTCCCTCATTCATCTTGCCTATCTTGTTCGTGGCACCGGGCCCAGCTTCCGATCCACCCGGGCTATCCCTCTTCAAAGATGTAGATCGACCACCTGAGTGTCCACTATCCGACCCCATCGACATCTTTCGCGACCTGCTGCTCTCTGCCCCTGTGATCTCGGCACCATATATCCCAGCGTTCCACCGCTCCTGCGAGTCCGAGTGCATCGTCAGGGGCGTTGATCCAGGGTCTCCCGGTCCCTGATCCGCGAAGAACTTCGCAAAGTCCACATCAGTGATGACCCCCGTTTCCTCGAGAGTATTCCGGATCCCATGGGATCCCCACTCTATTCCGATCGTCGTAGTCTGACCCATCCCCGCGTCTTTCAACGCTTCAACGTTCCCGCCTGGCGATGCCTCCGAGAGACCTGTAGATGAAAATACAGACAGCGCTCTATCATCGCTCTCACTGATCGCGTTCTGCGCTACTGCTGAAGATCCCTTAGCTATTAACTCCAGATCTGTAGGATCGGCACCGACATTCCCAATCGTGGTCGCACTATTCGAATACACTCCTGGAACGAGATCATCTCCATTCCCTCTGCCCATCCCATGTCCGCTATCTGCACTTCTCGTGCGATCGCCTTCAGCACCGAGCTCGCCACTGTTCATCATCGCATCTATTCCATCATCATTCCTCCTGATCGTCCTATCGTGATCTGACGATGATGACACGGCAAGGCTATCCACTCTATCCTCGATCGCCATTTCTATCCTGGAACCGGTGATTCCCTTGGCACCTCCCGTTGACTCGTAATCCGTTCCGTGGAACACAGTCTCGGAGGGGATGATGAACGGTCCCTCTTCCAGCCTTCCACCTATTCCAGCCAGATCCTCGATAGCAAGCGTCGGAGTCCTAGCGTTTCCCGCTTCTATCCCACCTCTTCCAGCCCTATACTCATGTAAATCTGTAGCTCCCACGACTGGATCGAATACTACAGGACGGCTTGCAAGCATGCTGAGCTGCATCACGGCATCCCCTCTATCTGCTATCGACGGGATTGCGAGCAACTCCTGCAATCCTTCGCCTGCGTCCCTCCCCTGAGTGCCCGACGTGTCCGCTATTCCGGCATAGCCCAGTCCTCCCGATCTCCCCACACTATCCATCGCCGCCACGATCTCCAAGTTTCTATCCGTCAGTCCTGGGGGTGGTCCTGGCACTAACATACTATCCGCAGCACTCGACCTAACGTCTACAGTAAGCGGTCCTGAGAAACTGAGGCCGAGGCGATCTCTATCAGCACTGCTATCCATCTCCATTCCTGTCCTTCCACTATTCCGTCCGTCGTCGATGAAGTTCACGTTCTCGGCGTCGGCTATGCTTCTCACATGACTATCGGCGGCGGTCACATCCTGATTGACCGCAGGTACCTGGTCCTCGAGAAATCTATTCCCTACTCCTAATACATCACTATCGCTAGACTCACTGCTCCCAATGCTATCACGTGTGGACATTGCTGCAGTCAACGAACACAAGTGACAAATGCGGAAAACTTCGCTATGCAAGTGGTACCTCTTCGCTATACCAAGAAAACTTCTCGAACAGCTCGTCCAGGCCAAGCAACAAGGCTCTTAACCTGTGCGAAGTGTCCAAACCAATGAAAACTTGCGCAACCCGTTCCAGTAACTAGCTCAGGCCACACGAGGAGAAAGAAGTTGAATATTTACAGTTGTAGGTTGTAATGCTGCACCAGAAGTAACAGTATCCCTGTCAACGGGGAACACGAGGTAGCTAGCCAAGTATTCCAAGCCACTCCCGACGTTAACTATCGGAAGGATCCCCAGAGTTGCTATCTCCAGGGGGTGGTAACCTATCGCTCAAGATGTATCCACTAGCCGTCCGGCTGCGTGTTGTACACCTATCCCGATATTCACCTGAACAGCCACCTGCCCTCAGTATCCTCCGGCCTCCGGCTATGAGTTGTAAAGAGAACAGATAACTATCCCGAGGTTAGGGAAAAGGATCTATCCCTCGTCAACGCCCGATCCTTTTAGCTCCTCTGGCCTCCGGCTGCGAGTTGGCTAATCGGATCCATCACGTACAGGGACACTATCCACGGGGGCGAAAACTGTACAAAGTCGGCTGCTACAAGTCTAAGAAGGGCCCTTCTTGAGCAGCTCGCGGCTGCGATCGGACACGAAGTCCATACTCTATCCAGGCTCATCCACGAGGAGGACGTCCACTATCCCTGGGCCAAACCCGAAATCAATGTACAAGCTAAGTTCGCACCCCATGAAATTAACTTGACCTCTTTGTGCTAAACACCACCCACCCACATCCCACCACGAACCACCACCACCACCACCACCACCACCACCACCACCACCACCACCACCACGTACCACCACCACCACCACGTACCACCACCACGGACCACCACCATGGACCACCACGGACGCGTGCCCTGTGGAGTTCCCCCTTAGCTTGACGGAGTCGGAACGCCGCGTGGAACGCCACAGCGGCGCGCATCCTGTGGAGTTCCCCCTTAGCTTGACGGATTCGGAACGCCGCGGGGACACGCGTCCTGTGGAATTCCCCCTTAGCTTGACGTGACTCCACTCTGGGGACACGTGTCCTGTGCAGCTCCCCCTTAGCTTGACGCATTCGGAACGCCCCAGGGACACAGACACAACGCAACGACGTTTGGTAACCTCCCAACCCCCAGACCCCCAACTTTAAAACGGGAACCCTTCTGCGGAGCATTCTGGAAAAAAAAGAAGATAACTTCCACCCTATAAACCCAAACCCTTTAAACCCTAAACCCTTTTTGCAACTGGGCTGGGGAACTAAACCCTAACCCTAAACCCTAAACCCGAAACCCGAAACCCGAAACCCTAACCCCTGGGTCCGTGTGGCAGCAGCCCAGCGTCGAGCTCACCGCCAACTCGCGCGCCGAGGCAAAGGCTTCCTCCTCCAGGAGGCCTCGGGCTCAACTGGGCTTAGGGTTCAGGGTTTGGGGTTTAGGGCTTAGGGTTTAGGGTTAAACAGGGTTCAGGGTTTCGGGTTTAGGTTTGAGAGGCATGTATATTCAGCGGTTTGTATGGAAGCTGACGAAGGAAGCTTGTGGGAGAAGTCAGCAGTACAGGGTTTGTTCAAAGAGGATGCATGGGGCGTGTCAGGGCTTAGGATTCTCTGGCGTAGCTTATGTAGCTTGGGAGATCTTGTGGATTTTGTCTAGACCACGCTGGAATCTCCAGCTCCACGGGAGGTGAGGTTTTGGGGGTTTAGGCTTTAGGGGCTTAGGGTTTAGGGGTTTAGGGCGTTTAGGGCTTAGGGTTTCGGGTCTAGGGATGCTCCCCCTTATACTGACGGTCCGATTATAATCTCTATTGACTGCTTGTAGTATAGGGGGGGAACTTCCCAAGTTGAGGGGTGTAGGATTCGCAAAGCAACGATCTCTGCAGCGTTTGCTTTTGGTCTGCTCAGTTCCCAGCGAGCCTGGAAGCACGAAGACGGTGAAGGAAGCTTGCTTTGGAGACCAGGCAAC